TATATATATATATATATATATATATGTATATATATGTATATATATATGTATATATATGTATATATATATGTATATATATGTATATATATATATATATATATGTATATATATATATATATGTATATATACACACACACATATACAGTATATAAAAAAGATGCAAATCCTCACATTGGAGAATGCACAATAAATCAATGATGAAAGAATAGTTAAAAATCAATTTCCTGTCAATCCACTAACCCATCGATTCACTTTGAGACCTAAATCGCTTCATGGTATATAATTAGTTGCAGTTGCTCATTAAAATTGTTGCTGATGAGTTTTCTGCCGACAGAATGGATTAATTGACTACTGTACAGCACTGTACATGGATTTGATTAACAGTGATTGAGTCGAGAGATGATTTAAAATACATTATGAACATAATCTGGATTTATGAGCCAATCCACACGTATGACCGTTTTTGTCGTCTTGTCTCGCAGGAACTATTCTCCAATCAAGAAGACCTCACAAAATGACCGGTGCATTCCTCCTCCCTGCGGCCTGAAGATACTGTCTTCAAATCCGACGCTTCTCTCGGACCTTTAACCCCCGTGTCATGTGCCAAGACATGCGGAGGGCAGGGAGGTGCTTCGGGCTACTATGCACAATATTTCTCCTTTTTTTTTTTTTTTTTGGAACATATAACACTTGCAAACAATTAGGCTGCTCTGCGTTTTTTTTTTTTCTTGTAATCCAAACTGATGATGTCTCAAAGACGTGTGTGACTTGGTGTTTTTAAGAGTGAAAAGACAAATCGTTAACTCCCCTCTGCTGGGAGTTTTTATTTCAGTTACGTTGCACCACAATAGCTTCAGGTTGGAAACGGTACACGACGGCTTTGGTGTTGAAGGCTTGATGGAATGTGTGTGTTTTTTTTGGGAGAAGTGGCCAGTTTTCCAGCATAACCTGCCAGACGGAGCGCTGTCTGAGTGGCAGTTACTCTGCTGCGCCGTGGACACGGTTCACCGTGAACAGGTGGAGGACGAAAGACTCGACGACCGGAGGTATAAAAGGCTCGATTCAACAATTGCTACACATCTCGCACAATTGTGGACTACGATTATATGCACGATTTTTTTAATTTCTCACTTCAGAGAAAGAAAAGATGATTTTTTTTTTCTCCAATGAAATTTGGTGATTGAGCAGTTAAGAGAGTCTGTATTTTCAGTTTGATCAATCCAGTGTGTTATGGTAGATGTCAGTTAGAGGGTGTGTGTTTTTACTTTTTACATCCCTGATGTGCAGTCAAACTAACAAAATGAAGAAATGTAACTTGTGAATTCATACACGGGGCATTCAAGGGTGAATTTATTTGCCAACAAGTGATTGGTTGGCCAAGTATTATATTGTTTCAGACAGCGGCCTCCACTGTCACATGGTCGAACTGATCATTTCTTCCTCCTTTTTGTTGTTATTGAGCCTGTGCATTTTCAAAGCACTTAGGTTTCCTGCGACACAGGGACCCCAAACCTAGAAGACACATTAGGTTGTACCATTTCATTAAGAGTTTAAATCCTGTAAAAAAGGAAAAATGTAAAAGCCATGGTTGCACATGTACACAATGTCACGCTACGCAGATTTATCGGGAGAACTAAATGAGATCTTGAAGGAAATTTGAAAAATCACTTCTTGAAGGGTTTTGTTATTTAACATTTTCCTGATATTTTGATATGGGGGGGGGGGGGCTTCATGTCAAAAATATTCGCTCACACTTTAATTATTCAGTTCAAGAAATGAATTCTCTGTGAGTACAAAAGAAGAATATATTTGATTATAGTTTTAATATACAATTTAGATGGAAGTAATAAACGAGATATTAATACATATGAATATATTACTAATGACAAGTGTTTTTTTACATTGGAGGAAGCATTCTCTGATAATTTTTAACGGTAATTTTCTATACTTGTATTTTTGTAAAGGATGAGATGCATGTAGATTTTTTTTTTTACGTAACCAAAGGAACACTAATATTTGCGTTTGCATGGCGTTTAGGGAGCGCTTGGGCCTGACACGGTGTCTCGTGTGTACATAAGCTTTGCAGAAGATGCCTGTAACGTGATATCTGACTTTGAGAGTGGAGTGAGGCATCAATACTTGACCATTTTAACTAAAATTCCCAATGATCTGCCTCTTTTTTTTTGCATTAATTGTGAATCCAATTAAATAAAAATAAAAAACGTGGCATGATGAAAAGAAAACACCTTTTATCGTCCCACTTTTCAACATGCCGTCGCATTCTCATCTCAAAACGAGACTAATACAACCGTTACCTCTCAGCGGGAAAACAACAGGAAGACAACTCTGCACAGATGTCATCAGATCGGGTGACAATAAGCAAAATGAATATTTATTCTACACATTTTTCTCTGTTACAACAGACTGGAATCCATCACACCACGTCTGTGTGTTTTCTTGGAGGAGGTTCTGTCTTAAAAAGAGTTGACCTCAAATTTGACTTCCCTTTTTGTTTTGTTTTTAGAGAAATGTATTGTAGCTCTCCAGCCATGTATATCATTTCTATACTATTCCTTGGGTTTTATTTTGACTGCCAATATTTAAAACACTATAGCATGACTTTATTCTGTCCTCTTCCCCCTTAAATTCTATGTTTTGTGTTCGTATTTAATTACTTTTGTTCATAACTGTCAACGTTTTGTGATCAGAAATAACATCCCAGCAGTTTAAACTCTTTCATTATGTCACTGTAACTACGTGAATATGGTAGTCTCTGGTTTTTATAAGCACTCTTTTTTTTTTTTTACTTTTCTAATGGTGCTAGATGTCATTTCTGACGTTTCCTGCATGATGCTACGGGTGCATATCAGGGCCTTTTTGAATTTTATGTATCCAGCACAGGGATGTTGATATGGTGCCATGTTAGAAGTTAGCACACGATCAAGTCTTTCCCCATTTTTGGTTTATTTTTTTATATATATATATATATATATATATAAAAACCACTGAACGGGTCATTAAGTAGATCTGGAAACAGAAGACCAGCTTCTTCAAACTGCATGATGTTATTTTAAATAACATTTAATTAGTTTAGAAAGTTGTATATGCAACAACTCCCCCAGTTTCTCTGAACTAATGCAGGTGTTGGAAATGTTAACATTTTAAAAGGAGGGACTGCAGCATGTAAAAGGAGCGGCAGCTGGTCGGATGTCTCTAGTTTACTGGGCAGGTGTGGTGTGTGCTTGTATTCCCCCTCTATGTAATAGTCATTTTTTTTCTTCAGTTCTCTTTAAGTAGCAGTTAGTCCATGTAGGTTTGGAATTTAAAAATGCCCCATTTGATACAGTATGTTAGTATTCAGCAAGGGTTTTTCTTTCATAGGGAGGGTTGGGTGGACAGGGAATGAGTTGTGCATAAGCCAATTATGTTTATGAGTTTTGATTAATGTTGATAGTTTTTAAGCTGCCCCCCCCCCCAAAAAAAAAAAAAATCAGTCTCTTTAAAAATTGTAAAGTCAGCCAGAGATGACAAACAGTTCTGAAAAGCAGAAATAAATTCAATAAAAACTGTTTAACCCACTTTGTCTGAGTCTTTGGTGCAAAGTTACTGACTGTTCAGTTCTGCACATCTGCCACTAGAGGCCGCTGAAGTCCAGTAATACTACTGTACGACATGGTAGCAAGTAAGTGTACTTTACCAAAATCATTTATTATTGTAGCTTATTATTATTATTATATCATGATTTCATCAGCAGTATGATGTCATGTTGTTGAAAGCTTTACAAAATGCTAACAAATAGACTAAGATAAGATTTTTTTTGTCAAATGAAAATATGAAAGTGATTTAGCTTAGCTTAGTGATTGAAAATGCCTGCCTGTAAGGTAAGTTTAAAAACTGAGGGATTGCTTCAGAAACAGATTTGGTTATAAAACAAGGTTTGTGTGATTTAGTAGATAAATCATGTAAACCAGTGGTATATGTTGAAAGTATCCTGTAGAAGAAAGTAAAACAGCTGTTATTTTCGTAGAGCGTCTTTATAGAAAACATTTCTTCACATTTTCAAAAAACACATTTTTTTGGCCTTTTCACTTTTAATTCTTTTTTTTATTTTTTATATATAGATCATTTTTTTTCAAAAACTGCTCAAGTTGAACATTTTTTAACATCCATCTGCGTCAAAGGCTCTTCGCTGACTTGCTGGGGATTGCAGGTGTCTGATAGAAAACACGGGCGTTCACAGCCTCGATATTCATCAGAAACACTTAACGACCAAAACCAAGAAAAACAGCCACAAGTTTTAAACGGGTCAGTTGGCGGCGTTTCTACCACCAAAGCCCACATTCAGCCTCCAGTCATCACATCCCTCCACTTCAGCAGCACTCCAGTTTCAGCCTGAAGGCACCTGTGTTAACAGAGCGTTTTGCTTTATATGCTCGATATGCGCTCGTTTCTTTTCTACATCCTACAGTTACTAACTCTAAACAGTCCGTCACACTCTATATCTACTCAGAATGCAGCACAACAAGCAGGTCCTACCATCACACCCAGAAACAAAACAAGTGAGTACTCTATAGTTTACAAAAACTATAAAAATAAAAAAAAAAAGACAGAAAAAAAAGTGTTTTAACAACTAGTGTGCACATTGTTCTGCTTTGTAAATGTACCGTGGATTTTGACTTCTGAACTCAACCTCGACTCACGACCAGTGATCCACTGGCCACTTCTCATCTATCCAATTCATCACTTTACTGTAGCGTTTGTTTAATGAGCTTGACACTGAACTTCAGTCTCTGATTTGATCTCTTTTAAAGCACATCCATACAAATAGCACAAAAATCATCAAGCAAATGGCTCAGCTTAATCTTCTCTGTAGGAAACTGCTCACTGACTTCTTAAGTATTCTCATCGGGTGTAAATATTGTGTTTTGAGAACATCATTACCTTCAAAATCCTTATGCGTGTCAGCACTGACCTGAAAGTAACAAGTAGAGCAATAATTCACGGAACTATCCCGGATCAAGTTACTTCACTCGGACGTCTGGGGTTGCGAACAAAAGCAAAGTCTGAAAGTTGGAGGACAAACAGTCTGAAAATCTTCGTTACACGTCGTACAGTGGAGAAGAAAGGCGTCGGACCCACACACACCGTGCGTCTACTAATGAGCTACCTTGTATTATAAATATATAAAGTTTTAAAAAAGTGCTTATTAAAAGAAACTATAGTGATGTGATAACTTCCAGCAGTGTAACTGATGCGTTTGTTCTTGACCAGCATTAATACGAAATGTTAGGGAGCGCAAAAAACGTTGTCCTTCACGGTCCACTTCCTCCTCCAACACTGACGAGGATTGTCCAAAATATAACAGAGGCCCTGGTCTCCCATTAACATTCATCTTGTACAAAAAGATATCTTTTTTTTTTTTTGGGGGGGGGGCATAGTTCATACAAAGGAGACTGATGAAACTATTGGCCACAGTAACACACCGCTACAACCAAGCCGTTCCTCACAGACTGAGTTGAAACACAAAACATGTCAAAATTAAAACAACTTCTAATAATTGCACGTATCGTTTAAGAGCCGAGATGTTTGATAAGAGAACAGAAGAATCTGCTGGAGGAAGGGCATGGCACACTATGGTATAAATACATTGAAAAGCACATTCATGAGGCACAGCTGCTAAACGATGGAGCTGTGTGTCCTTAAATGTGCCGCTCTCGTCCCACTTCGCCGTCCTGATGTTTAGATTTCTTCATCCTCGCGTCTCTGGGTCTCTCTGTACCGGCGGAGAGTTTTAGCTTCGTGCCTCTCCGAGAGCACTTAGGCGATCATGTACTGCGTGATGGCTCTCAGAGCGTATAGCAGCTCAGCCTGCAGCCGGGCCTCCATGATGAGTAAATTAACGTGTATCTGAAGGGAGAGACAATGAAAAAAGGGATTCACACAGAGCGCCAAAAGAGGTTTGAATGACGGAAACTTAAACGGTGAAGGTCTTCTTACCCGCTCTGAAGTTTTAAGTGGAGCCAAACTTAGCGGACACACTGGAGTTTTGGTGGCATCCGGAAAACAAGCCACAGCCTTGATGTACAGCTTAAAATCTCGCTCCAGCAACTGATTCACCTCTCCGTAATCATAATCATCATACCTGTAACCACAAACAAATGTCTTGTTTACCTGCTAAACACAAAGAAAAGTAGGCCTATGAGTCACAGAGGATGTTTCTGTGTCTCACCGTATTCCTAACACACAATGGATGTAGTTCCAGATCGCCCTCTTCAGGTCGGGGCTGTGCGTCGAGGGGAGCGTAGTCACACTCCTGAATCGGTCGTCCAAGAGGTGCCCGATGTCCGAATACAATCTGTTGACTAAGGAGAAGCCGTGGTCCTCCCATGAATAGTCCTGCAGAGAAAACACACCACACACTCAGAGTCAGCGAGGTTTAGATTCTACTTTGAAGATCATCAAATATCAAAGTACAGCAGTGGTTCCCAAGTCTCCGCCAAGACATCTTTTACAACATAAAAAAGACAAGTCGACATCTAAACTCTCCGTGTTCTCAGCATACATGGAGTAACATGAAATAATTACATGTTAAACCTTAATGAAGTTACATGTTGCAGACATCAGGATCATTGATTGAAAAGTGTGTGAAGTCACCGGATGTTTAAGGCGTCTACACGTCTTAGCACAAAGAGCCGTAACACACATACAAAGTTAACACCACTTGCCCGCTGACACGTTCACAAATGTGACATCCTCACCTGAACTCTAAATACTTGAAAGTGGTCCTCCTCTCTACGAGCAAACTCCTGATAGCACAAGTCGGGGTCTGTGATAAAACGCGTCGGGTCTGTGAAGCACATCATCTCCTCTTCTTCTTCAATATCTAAAAAAGAAGAGAGAGACAACGTAAGCAAAGGAGATGAGGAGGCAGAGAGAGTGTGGCTGATGATGAGTGGTGATTGCTCAGGTTTGACACCATGTGACTTAAATGCAACGATGAAGATAAAGATAAAGAAGTGAGTGGGATGATCAGTGTTATCTTGTTGGTGTGTATCTGCCTTCCTCTGCTGATGTCGGTCACCTGTTTGCTGGAGTGCTTGTGTCTGCAGCAGACGCTCTTCTCTCTTCTCACGCTCTTCCTGAGACTTCTGAATCCTCTCCTTCAGACACACCATGTCACAGCTGGAGTCCAGAGACTGTCGACACAAACACCAGAAGAAAACGCTGATGAAGTTAAATTAAGTTTCAAGTATCTTACGAGTAACGGAGGAAAATAATCCTTATTACGAGAAAACGCTCCCACTTTCATCTCATGGAGATACAAAGAGCTGTGTCACTTCAAAGTGATCTCGTATCAGTTAGCATTTAAGGTGTGAGAAACACATGAACCATATCATTCACACTATGAATTATTTTAATATTTTATGCAAGAGATCATATCTACATAACGTCTCAAGCTAAAATGATCCTAAATCATAAAATCCTTTTGAAAACTTTTAGTCGTTTGACTGATCAGGACACAAAATTAACCGACAAACATTTTCACGTCACTTATCAAACAAAAACACCAAATAATCTCTGCTTCTAGCTTCTCTGTAAATTGAGAATCTTTGGGTTTCAGATCATTGGTCAGATAAAACGCGCAATTTGCGTTATTTTGTTTTTATAAAGTAAAATAATTATTGAGTAATTGTAAATGACGTTAGTTGCCACAGAATAACATTTGTAATTTTTTAATATTTCATTCATGATTAAAAAAAAAAAACATATAGTATCACATGAAACATAAACCTTCATATCCATTTCCACTTACATAAAAAAGGGAATCAAGCAAATGTATTAGTTTGAAAGACAAGACTGATTCGTTACCCGTCTTCGTGTCTTGTGTTCGGAGGGCGTGGCGAGCGACTGAGGCACGTTGGCGTTGCCGTTGGCAGCATCAAAGGGGCAGAAGGTTGGCGGGACACCGTTGGGAGATTTGGAGAGCGGGACAAAGTCCGAGTCTGTGTCGCATCCAAACACAAAGCTGCAGAGGGAGTGGCAGTGGGCCAGGATCACCACAGCCTGCACCAGCTCAGCCAGCGACCAGCACTGCTCGCCCGACTTCAGCAGCGTCTGGAGGGAACAGACACCAGAGCTCAGGGTCAGACAGGATTTATACTCGTTAATCTGCATCCCCGAGTGCTCTTTAAGACGTAAACAATTCTGTATTTCTGTAAGTGATGATGGGCAATCCTTTAATACTCTTTGTTTTGTTAGCTGGTGTTGCTCTGCTGTACCTGGATGTGTGAGCAGGCAGTGAGCCAGGGCTGGTGGGCCAGCACTTTGTTGATGTGGTCGAGGAGACGAAGGCGGGGGGGCGCTGCCTCCAAACCCTGCAGCCACAGAGGGTCCCCGCCCACCCTCAGAAACTGGGCCGAGTGCAGGTACACCAGGTAGTTGCAGTGATGTCGTGCTGCAGCCTGAAAGTCATCGGAAGAGGAAGTTGAGCAGATCAACTCAAACATTAAGCGCTTGTTATTCTTTAATTTTGAATGATACTCGTATGATCCCTGGTAAAGAACAGCTCCCAAAGTCGAATGGTGAGTTACTGGGTATGTCTAAACGAGAACAGCTTGCTAACTGACCATAATGGCGATGTAATGGCGGTACGGCAGCGGCAGGGGGCCGTCCATGTGCAGGATATAGTGCTGTGTGCGCAGGAAGCTCTCCAAGTATTGGGGGTGAGAGGCCATCTGCTGGGACACGGCGTCCACGCTCCCCCTGCTGACCAGAGCCTTCATGAACAGCAGCGACACTCGCTCGTTCTCACCGTTCACCATCACCTACAGACACCGGGACAGAGAGGAGGAGGCTGGTAAAAACCTTGTGCTGCGTGTTGCTGCGGTACAATCGGAGGATGTTTCATCATTGTGTTCATATGTAGGATGCTGAGGAAGTAGCCATTAGAGCTGAAATGTCAATCAATTTGTCCGGTTACAGAAAATTAAATGGGAATAAATTTGTAGAATCTATTTATCATTCTTCTTCCCAAAATATGCTGATTCCGGGTGCTAAAATATGATTAATTGCTGCTTTTCTCCGTATTATATCCCAGGAAGTTAAATATGTTTGGGTTTTGGACTTTTGGTTGGACAAAACAAGCAGTTTCAAGACTTCTAAATATAAAAACAGTATCAGTTAATCAAGAAAATAATCAGTAGATGAACTGATAAAGAAAATAAACCTTAGTTGCAGCCACCGACAACATCAAAGTTCTCATAGTGACAGTGATGAATATCTTTATTGACTTTGTAGTATAATGATTACAGACATGTAATCTTTGTGAAAAGGTTCCTTCAAAATACGACATACATGTAAATGCATATAAGGGCCGACTGTCCTTTGAATTATGAGAACTCCTTTTGTAGCTAAAGCAGGTTGACCCAAGACAAGGTTGGACTTCAGTGTCCACACCACGTGATGGCGGCTCAGACTGTGCTTTGGAGTCATGTTACACACCTTAAAGCAGCTGAAGAGCGGCAGCCAGCCAGCGACGCTGTGCTACCAGCGCCAGTGGCAAGTGAGGGAATTCCTCACATTATTTTTTCTGCATATAAAAACGGTGCTCAGCTGGAGGCTCAAAGACACCAACTCATCTCCATTGCAGCAGGGTCTGATGCCTCATACAGTACTACTGCAATACTATCAAATGTAGATGAGGCTCCGGGAAAAAGACGGATGAAGAAACTAATGTGAAAGTTGGGCTTAAGAGGCCCTGAAGAGGGAAACTCTGCAGCAGCGTAGAAGTGGATGAGACCAAAGACACAAACATAGGTGTGACTGTTGAGGAGCCTGAGGCCAAGAGAAACAGACCCGTGTGGAGAGGGAAGCTGGACTGCCCTCGGAGGCACGGCCATTTATTACGCCTCTCGCCATCATACAACGGCCTCTAGGAAAAGGTGTTTGGGAGCTCGGCCTCTGGCAGTTCCCCTGAATGTGAAACCCGAGTGCACAGGGCCGATCAAAGCCAACTGGCTCACTGCAGTTTGAGCGACACGAATGTTGGCAAGGACTTCTTCTTTCAATATCACTAAATGCTGTCGAGGATTATTTCTTATGTCACAGATAGTCGGAGCGAATGTCGACCATTACATTTTAGCCTCGTACGGCTCTTGGACATTCATCACCATGTTTATCTGGCCGATAGCTGCTTGGGTATTTCACTGCCGTCTGTAGTGGACGAGGGTTTGTTTGTGATCCTGCTAGAGGCTCCACCTCTTGACCTACATACGCTCAGCTCAGGTCTTGAAAGACATGTTAACATACTACACGTTACACAAATCAATCTCATTATGATGTTTACATTTCCCTAATCTCAGTTTATGAAAAGCAAACAGTGATGGGAAATAGGCCGGGGGGGTCCATAGAGCACACAGGTGCCTGCCAATCAAAAGGCCTCTTGACAAGAGCACATTCACGGAAGTATCTCTGTGCAAACACGAGCGCTGCTGATTAGCATGCCGAGCTGCAGAATCTACGCTACTGCTCCACCGAGCACTAAATGGCCCGGTCACTGAGGAAAAAAAGACATCTCCGGGTCTACACAAGGCAGACAACATGCTTTGAGGTCAACTTTTCAAGGACTCATGTAGGGAGACCGCTTAGCTTTCTCCTTCTAGTCTACTGAATAAGCTTCGATTGTGACATTAACAGATTATCAAAGATCCATGTGAAACTTTTCAATAAACTGCTCTCGGTTCAGTTTGTAACACAAACACCACAACACAGATTCACTGTTGTGTATCTACTACAACATGACTGATATTGGTTATTTGAAACAGGTTGATATTTAAGAGTTTAAATGTAAACAGTAGCAGAAGAACAGTGACCAAGATGCAAACAAGGCACATGATGAATTACAGACACAAAATTTGCTCTTTTTGTGCGATACAGAATAAAAATGCAACTGCACAGCAGACAATATGAATCCAAAACAAAGAATATACCTCAGGTTTCAGATTTAAGACCTGCAGCAGATGTCCCAAATACCAACATTGTATGAAAAACATTTCATAAAGGGGCTACTTATGGAAAAACCAGACTTATAAGATCCCACCAAGACCATGACACACAACCTTATCAAAGTTGTGTGTCATGGTGACGCAATAACTCTGGGCACAACAGGACTTGCTCCAGTGTTGTTCAGAATGTCCAGGAAAACACAATTTCTTCATGAGGATTAATTCAGCAAAAGGTTACCGTTAGAATAGTTAAAGCTGAAATCCCGTTTCCCCCCCCCCCCACAGGAGAGTGTGTGAGACTCACACTGGGACTTACTGGGCTGCACAGCCTGAGGATAAACACTGAAATCTCACCAGAATACATGTACAACCAGACAATCTTTACACGTCAGTGGCCAATTCACTGTCATTCATTTGGTCTTCAGCCTCTCTAATCTACAGCTGAGACAAAAACAGTCAAATAAGTGACAACACTTACTCTTGTACAGAACTAGGAGACCAGACTTGTCCTCACTGGCATCACCCAATCGAAGAGGAAATTGGTTGTTTTGTGAAATTTCATAAACATGTCTGGACAAATTCTACAGAGAAAGTCAAACTGAAACAGGAACTAGTAGACGTAAGCAGTCGCACAGCAGGAAATGCATCCTACAGATTTAACTGCATTAAGTCTGCTGACACCTGCTATTTGCTAACATGAAACAAAAATTAAAACTCTAGTTATACAGTAAGTTTATGACAATGTTCAGTGAAAATTTTAAAAAAATTCCCAGATTTTGAAACTCCTAAAACATAAAAAGGTGAAGTCCATCTTAAATTACATCTTTTTTTACTGGTTGCCAGACTCCACAAGTAAAGCAATCAATATTTCCTCCACATAAGCGATACATCCTCCATCATTTAAAATAACATTTTCTAATCAATACTTGTGATTAATTCACACTAGAGGAGGGTTTAGACTGTGTGCAGACACCCATCCACACTGCTTTATCTTTATTGCCTGAAAACAAGCCACAAATTCTGCACACAGCAGTACTTTTGATAAGGCGATAGCCTCCTTATTGTCCACCCACTGGAAAAAAAACACCCGCATGAAAAAGACAAGCGTGTGTGGGTGGATATATAGTGCAAAAAGACACACATCATTTGAGCGACTGTGTGGTATTACAAAGCATATTTTGGTTTCACATCAATGCAAACAGTATCAGGGAGATGCGCATTAAGGTTTCGTGCACACAAACCTATTAATTCTGCTTACAGTACGCCCAGCAGCTACCGATTTAGAAACAAAGATGTTTTTTTTCCCCCTAGTCAAAACCAAGCTTGAGGATTGATGGTGTTGATATTAGAGCGCTGCTATATTCAACTTGTGGCCTGGTTGCAAAAGATAGACCTCATAAAAAAAACCTCCTAGAGGGCCTGTTGTAAGTAAAAATTCACAGATGAAGATTGATGTTTCCTTCCCAACAGAGGACAGGTCATTTCTTTATTGATCAGAGAGGAGGAGGAGGGATGAAATGAAAAACAGGGATGACGTCACTGAGGGGAGGAAAGGTAAATGGAGACAAAGACGGGCTGAAACAGCAGCACTGTACGGGCAGGAATTTAAAAAGAACTAAGACTACGCTTAAGGAAGTAGAACAATGATACCAGCAGTCTACCAGGGAAGGGTAAATGTGTCAGCTTAAGATGAGATGTGTGGTGGCTGTATGTGTGGTGGGCTGCTGCAGGAGGGAGGACATTCAATCTGCATGCCGGTTGAACCTGGAGGGGCTCCGTCCTGACAGGCATTAACGCCCCCCTCCCCAAATCACCAGAAACACATGCAGCCAAGGGCCGATTTTGGCCCTTGCAACATGAACTCAAAGAGAGAGAGAGAGAGAGGTGCAAAACAAACCAGCTGCAGCCCAAAGATGTTTGGAGAGGGAGGGGGAAAAGGAGCTGTACATACAACATGACCAAGACAAACAAAACACTGTGCTGCAGGATTTCAAAAAAAAAAAAAAAAAAAAAAAAAAAAAAAAAAAAAAAAAAAAAAATAGAAAGCCAAGCCCACACAAAGCCGATGAGTGATTGGACCTGTCAGAGAACAGGTAGGTAGAGCAAGGGGACAACGCAGTAAAGACTTCCACCGATAATCAGGTCATTCATTGCTAGTCTCATTCACGGATGAGCCAGGGGCCGTGCAGGTATTCAGATTAAAAAGCAGGTGCTCAAACGCCAAATACATGTTTACTCCAACAGACAAGTGCTTTAAGTACTGTAGTTATAAAAGGGTTGTTTTGCTTTGCACAAGCATTGGTCTCAATACAAACACTGATTGTCTTCCAGCTAAAGACGGTTACGTAATCATATATCATATGCTATATGATAAATGTATGCATATGAATATGAACAGCAACACAGTGAGAGGGACAGTCAGAAGTAACCCAAAAATGGACTTCAAACCAGAGGGTTTTTTTCTGACATTCCTCCCTGTTTTGCTTCATTTCTGGACTCTAATCTGCAGCAAACGCAGTCTTTTAGGGACCGCACTTGAGACAGCGCCCCCCTTCTGTTGCAAAATGGAAAGACAGCGACAGAGGAGAAAAACAACTTTGATTGGCAGTCCAGTTCAGCCAGCAAAAAAAAAAACCAGCACAATAAAAGTCTCCAGCATTCAGAGGAACCTGGTGCAAGAAAGACTGAATCCTCGTGGATTAAAAGCTATTTCACATTCACATTTTATTTATGGGTATTAAATGTCAATGCATTACTTCACAGCCACCTTAATAACTGACAAGACACTTTCTCCCCAAATCCTCAGATGATGTCATCGTCACCTACAGATTTATTTCTCCTCACACTGCAAAGCTCTCAAACCTCGTTGCTTGCATTTTAACGTCAGTATTTGACAAAAACCGGTGTTAAAGTCAAATATAGCCATGTATAAAAAAACAAATAGTTAACGCAAACGTTAAATCCTCAATGGTGAAGCAACAAAGGAAGACTCTTCGTTACGTTGTAAGGCTGTACATCACAGCGAATGCATTCGAACAGCAAATGTTGTTCATATTAACTGGCTGAATGTGACGTTACATTTACTAACGGTTACGTTAGTTTATAAACCGTTGACCGTGTCGCGAGCTTTAACGTGACATTTTAACGACTGGAGATAGAAACTACAAAATGTTTCTTGATGGCAGTTCATAGTTCTGAATTAAATTAATATAAACTACTTGTATTGCATTTTTTTTTAAGTTGGGATTTAACTCTATGGTATGATTGCTCGATCGACTGTTAGCGGAGTTAGCTATTAGCTTAGATTAGAAGTTTGGTAGCTAATTTACAGCCACTGTAAGCGAACTTACTGGTTGACAAGTTAAAAAGTTTAGAGATTTAAAAACCTGTAAATGGTCTTCTTTACATTGTCGGCTGTTAGCTGCCCAAAGAGTTAATTTAAAGCTATAAAAAAAACACAGGAAACCTGAGAGAGAGAGGTGGATAAGAGACGAGTTTCTTTGATATAAAATAACGTTAATCCGTTCAGCAAATGAATGAACGTTACCAGAGCTACTCAGCTAGCCGCTAGCTTTAATTGTGTTAAAAAACTAATTAAACTGTCTTCAACAGCTTTGTCTCGTGTCGGCTTTAAAACCTACCTGTTTGTGGACTCGCTGGCACTGGGTTCTCAGGGGGTACTCCATTTTATTCGTACAGATGATCATTTTCCAAAAAAAGTGTGCCTACTGCATGGATGCGGCTCTGTCTTTTCTCGGTGCCTTCGCCAGCTAACAGTTAGCTAACAAAGGCAAGCGAAGCAGCAGTCAGCCCCTGTCCCTGAGCCGGAGACTGGACTGAGAGAGCAGAGGAAACCTTCCAGAGTCGAGCTGACAGCTCCAGTAACAGTGGGCCCAATCAAAGCACAGGAGGCGGAGCCGGCTCTCAGAGGCTCATATCCAAATGCTAATGAACATCTGCAAACAACAACGCATAGACACACACCCACATGCGAACTTCATGCCAATTCATGGGACGGGACATCTGTTAAGAGGCTGGATTTATTAATATATTATATAATATACTGTGCACTTGAATTAGGGAAATGTAGCTTTAGGTAACCTTTTGTCAGACTTATGGCTTAAGGCTGCCACAGTGCTGTAGGCAGCCTTAACAACTGGGCCTGTTTCACAAAGCAGAGTTATCTTTATTTTAATTATTTGGATGTGATTAGTCAAACCCAGAAGCCCCTGAAATCTGCAACATGGACAATACAATCATCTGTGTAATGCTGCTTTGGTGGGTTCATGGATCTGATGACATGCGACTTGTTTATATAATTCTGTGCACTGTTTTTTCTGGGACTGTTTTAAGGTGTGGGTGAACCCCCCTACTTCAAATTAAGCAAAATCTTAAAGGGACTCTCTCCCCACCGGAGGATTGATGAATCTCGGTCAGTAACACATAACATACATCTGCTGTTAACAGGCCTGAGTAGTAAAGTGAGAACTAGTCAACAGTTTGGGGAAGGCCTTTTCTTGTTTTGACATGACAGTGCCTCAGTCTGTACATAAAGCCTGAAAGAAATGGTTCTCCCAGTTTGTCGGGGGTTTGCACAGAAGCTCTGACATCTAGTCCACGTAGAAAAAAAAAAATCTTAATTTGAAGTCCACATATACAAAATATTGTGGATAACATTCCAAGAATAGTAGAGGCTGTTAGAGCAGCATATCAATACTCTCTTTGTAATATGTCCATGATGTAATATTACAGTGTCTAGCCTACCTTTGCCCATGTAGAGTATCATCAAACACTCAGTAAAGAAACAATGTCAAACAGGATTACACCATTGAAGCTAAATCAATTAACATGGATTAATATTTGACTTTTCAAAGCCGTACGCGGTGCTTATTTGGGAATAAAACTATAGATAGATCTCTCAGATGACTTTGATGATATGTTTGCATCAAAGTCATGTAAGACTTAACAGGGGACACGGTATAATATTAAGTCATAACAACGTCACAAAGGCAGACAACAAGTATCATTCATGTTTGTATCCTGAAGTAAACTAAACACACAACAAGCATTGATTACATGTCCACAACTGACCCCTACGTTCAGGCTTGCTTTGACCCAATTGTTACTTTTTGTGTGGACTTATTCAGTCTTCTCTTGTCTTAATGAATGGGACATTTGTTCTTCATCACACATTTTGGGATGCAATTGGTTCAAATCAGGTTGTTTTTCTGTCTGAGAATCACAACTTTCATTTGAATTAGTTTCTGTGTTTTTGTACTTTCTTAAGACAGTCAGTATGTGTTAAGCGTGGATACATTATTTCTGCAACATCACCATGTAAAGGCTAATTCTAATGTAGTTCCCCAATCTTAAGAAATTTGTATTTAATATGACTTTTTCCCTTCTTGAGGTTATGCTTAGGTTATGCTTTGGCCAGCGTGATACCGATTACTGTGTCTGTAAATTAACATTCCTGATTTGCAGTGAGATGTCCACTCACGAGGGAGACACTAACAGTCCTATAAAACCAGATCTAATGTCTAAAATGACCCATGAGTGATGAAGCCTTGTGCATCAGAGGACTGAACCATGTACAAGTCTTTCATTAATATTTGTTAACAACATTAAGGAAAGGCTGTCTTGGCTGTGATCCATTAAGCTTTATTGAAACTTCCCTAAAGTTCCAAACACTACAAACTTGAGTAAAAGTAAAGCTGACGGAGGAGCTCGGGGGAAAACAAGTGACACTGGCCTCGATTGTCCATCTATATTAGATTAACATGCAGTTTGCACAAACATCATGTGAATCATATGCAGTGGCAGGCAGAACCAGTCTAAACCACTTAGCTACAGTTCTAACTCATTCCGGGGAAAACACCAAACGAATATTTGCAATACGGGAGTTTCTCAGTCAGGGATTGAGCCTAGTTCTAGATTTAAAACCATAATTTAGGGCTGCGACCAATAACTATTTGCATTATGGAAAGTGTTTTTAAAGCTAAACTGATGTCTTCAAATTGCGTCTTTTAGTCAACACGCAGTTCAAAACCAAAAGATATATGAAATGTTACTAAGATAAAGACACAAAATTAAATCTTCACATTTGAGAAGCTGGAAAAAGGGAAATTGATTATATTATTATTAATTCTCTGTCGATTGACTCATAGTTTCAGAACTACAATATTTAACAGAGATATTGACTCAAAAATATCTAACGTCGACGAGGACGAGGCTTAAAACTCGTCTGGGAAACTGTCTGTCAATCCCAGAAACTGCCAAGAGATTAACCAAACTACACAATGTTGGTGTCATATTAATTTGTCTGGAGCCAATGTAGCTGTTTGAGTCGGACAAGGATTGTGAACAAATTATAATACTAACATTTCAGAATTGTAGTAGTAACGGTAGTTTTGCCGTGCATCTTTTAAAATACGATGCTTCATGTGGTTTGACCCTTACTGTTTTTCTGTTAAAAGTAACCATTTCCTGAATCAAAATGATGTATTAGAACAGCTGGCTGGTGTAACCAGCATCAAAGAGATGTTATGACTCTTTATGCACAGAAATTCTTAGACAAACAAACAGAAGGGACTTTCCTAAGAAGGAAGTCTGCCACCATTGTGGATTATTCCGCTTGTACAACAGTGATACAAGAGATTGTTTTCTTTATCAAGCTGCCTGACCTTCCATCTACATCTCAGGGAATTTGGGAAATGAACACCATACAGTATCATTATTAAATGCTGGTCGTTTGGCCTCAGTAGCAGAAAGTGGACAAAAATGTTTCCTCTCAACACAGTTCAGAGGTCGACGAGCCAAACTAAGCTTCATGCTGCCTTTCACCGTCATTTCCTGTTTAACAAGAAAATGCAACTAAAGAAATGCTGAATCAGCAGTGATACATCAACATGTTTCCTAAATTGTACGGCGTGTCTTCTGCAAACATTTAAAAGTCTCGTTCCCAGTTTTTGTTTATGTACATATGATATTTACCTCTTTCCTGCAGGTTAGGCAATGTTTAACAGCCTCTCACACACTGAATACTGAAGCAGTTGGTGAACCTGCTTTTCAGCAAATTGAGAGTAGACTTGATAGAAATAGGGTAGTCATGGCATATATAGAGGGATTCTACTTAAAACATGACCTGGTACCACACCAAAAAACATTCTTAAAAACGGCTTACAGTTAAAAACAAAAAGACACCAAATGTCTGCATGTGTTCTTGCCAGTTTGGACTGGAAGAAGTTAGAGTGTACGTGCTGGGAGGGGTCACCCCTGAGGCCAAAATAGGTACAAACCTCCTCTCTGTGATGCAGCATATTTCATTAGTGTCTCTGTAAAGTAGAAAAAGTATTTTTGTCTGCCTTTTAAATAAGTGTAAATTAGGAAGCGATATGAATATATATTTAGAGAGCCGTGTACAGTCAGTGTAGGATAGATTATTCATTTCATGACAGACATAAGTGAAATATAGTGGGGAAATATACAGGATATCATTTACATTTTTACCTCATTTTGATTTCGAGATACCTGTCCTCCAGAGAAAGAGCAGTCACTGACGAGACACGCTCACAAATACACAGTAGACTGTAAATAAATCATGCATGCCACACACAAACCAAGAAATACAAATGAATACATAAAAAAACAACAATACCAATATGCTTATAAGAAGTGCAGTAAACTGTCTTGAAAGTCTACTAATAGAGTGATGAACACATAATCATAACAACCATCCCGATAACATAAATTATTTAAGAGCTATTGTTAGCGACTGCTGCAACCTTCCCTTCATGCCACAAATACTAAAAGTAGCACATCCTCATTTAATGGACCCCACAACTTGTTTCATCCAACAATGTGTAGTTAGCATTAAGCAGAAGCTCTGTCATGCAGTCTCTTGATTTACAAATCATCAAATAAAATCGACTTAACAGTTGAGGTCAAGACTTCAGCACAGACAAAGTGCATTGATTGTATTCAATTAAAGAAGTCACTTACCTTGCACTCTGATCAGGATGAACACAGCTCTCTTTCTTACATCTCAACTCTCTGAACTGCTGAGTATTATTTCACTCAAACACCTGGTAGTTTTGTTTTACTTGTAAAAAAACCTTTAAAACAACAGCATCTAGAATAAATATACAAATAATTCACAGGAAACACAAGGATTTTAAATAAGACATTTTATTATTATTGCATACAAAAATAGTGTCAGATGTGCTGCGCAATCACAACGAGGAACCAAGTATCATGATCTACTAAAACATGATATTCTAAAGATCATCAAACTTCATCTTAACAGAAAACAAGCAGTCAGATTAAAGTTTCACTGAACACCGAGAGCTTTGTCGAGGAAATTCGCAAAATTCTTGGGCTGTCCGGGCAAGAAGGGCTGAAGAACAGAGAGATCCATCGTCCTCAGTGTTTCTGTCAGGGTGCTGAAAGATAAATCGATAATAGCTTGTTACTTTTGTCGTGCTAAACAACCTCACACGTACAAGCTGCACATGTGAGAAACACATACCTGCACGTGCAGTACAACAGGTGGGAGTCCATGTGCAGCTGTCTGGCCATCTCCAGTTGGTGGTTGTTCATCAGCTTGTCATTGACGACGACCAGCAGAGGTTTTCCTGCTCCAAGAGCCTCCAAACAGCTTCCTGCTCCTGAGGACCAACACAAGATCCAAACATCCTAATTCATGAGTAGAACTGAAGACAGTCTGTGTTTTTAGTACCGCCGGTTTGTCGTCATTTTACTGCGATATAAAACTTTGATTTTCATACAGTGAACTTATTGTCTTCTACTTATTTTTTGTTGCATTTATGACGGTGGGAAGCTCTGCCAGTTCAAGATAACCAATAATACACAACGAGGAGTCCTGATATGTAGAAGTAATGGACCATGGAGGTGAACAAACACCACAGCATAAAAAAAACGTGTCAGTATTATAATAATTTATATTGTTTGCAGGTAGTTCAGCTCATAATACGATTCATTTCAACTGTTAACATAGCATGATGACAAAGAATTTTTGCTTTATGTTGTTCGGAAACCTAGAAGACAGATTACTTGACACACACAGGTTTCTATTACATGCTTTTGAAAATAGTCAGCAATACTGTAAGGTGTATATCATTTGTGGTAAACTGTGTCAAACTGCAAAAACTATATGATCCTTTAGTGCTGCTAAAAGGTTTCAGCTAGTAGTTAGCGGGATGCTCTCTGATGGCCTCGGTTCGTATCGGTCTGTCTTTAGGCTCTGCTGTTTTAATCAACGGTTTTCTGTTTAATGTTTGCACACTGCTGACAAACCTGTGTTTGCTTTTGCTTTGAATTCTACAGAGTCATTAATGTGTTCTTGGCAGGAAATGAACATGGAAACTACCGGTTCTGGCCGACCCTTTTAATAGTTATTATGAGCATTATGTTTTTATAAAAAAAACTGAACCTAGCAGACAGTAGTTTGGCTTATGGAGCAGCATAAGTGGAGCATGATGGAATAAGAGGAATGATAAATGAATATGTAGCCACTATTTACAATGGGAGAAAGTGACATGGTGGCAGGAGGACATGTTATTTTAAATACTTTACTCGCCTGCATGGCTGATGACGAGGTCCGCCTGCTGGATGTCGTCTGCTATAGAGTCTTTAAACCGATAAGCCTCCAGTGAGACGTGTGGACAGCTGTCAGCAGCTGGAAGAATAGATCCTCGTCCAGCCTGAAGAACCAAATGCTCATATCCACGAGCCTTCAACACCTGCGGGGAGAAAAAAAGAAACTTATTATAGAACTGGTCAAAACTTTCAGAAATTCGCACTTTGATGTTGCCGCAGTTTACAAAGACCAAAAACCTGGATAATGGATTTCACATTTTAAAACCACTGTGAAGACTTCCAACAGGTGACGTCTTTAAGTGCTCTGAAGTTTCCCCACTGATCATTAGAAACAGCAGGTCTGAGCCGCTTCTCTAAATGTATTTCCTTAGAACCAGCTTCAAAACCTGACAGCATCACAATTTTGGTTTCATGTTTCTTATTTTGTAGCTGTTATCATTAATACTTATTGGCCACACCAGATGCAAGTATTGCTGTTCCAGGACAGAGCCAATAAATTACTCTTGTTTTAATACCTTTGGCTTTGAAAAAGATCATTTTAATTTGATAGTTTTTCTAGAATGAATGCCCTATTATACAAAATCCAGTTAGTAGTATACCACAATGGTGAACTGTATCCAAGTACATTTACTCTGTTAATGTACTTAAGTACAAATTTAAAGTACTTAACTTGAGTATATCAATGTTATGCTAATTTATATTTGTACATACATTTCAGAAAATAAAATATTGTGCATTTTACTCTACTAGCTTTTCGGATCAAGATTTTACATAAAAATTCAATGACCATATAATAAAATATGATGCATTATTATAGATTAAATTGCCTAATACTATATGAAGTATAATTAAACTAAACGGCCACCAGCTAAGATATAACATTACAAGACTGGTTGTCATGAAAATAATACAATAATATACCACTGAAAGGGGACATTCTGCATAAATAGTGGCACACTTTTAAACATGTTAAATGCAATACTTTAACCTGTAGTGGAGTATTTCTCTAGTGTCACTGTGGTACTTTTGAAGGTATCAATACGTTGCAGCAGTACAGCAGTCACTCTCCAAGCTTTACTCATAATAACCAACTTTGCTCACCTGCACGGTCTCCGGACACGTGACGCCTTCGATGAGATCATCGAAGCTCGTGGTGCCGACAGTCACAAACACGGTCTTCATGACTTCTCAGCTGAAACTGTTTTTTGCAGGATTTGTGAGTGTATTTTCAGAAGCCTCCTCTCACCAGCTCATCCTCACCCCACAGCCGTGGAACTGACAGCTACTTCCGCTTCAAGCCTGTGACGTCACAGTCCGTGAAACAAACACGTGATGCTGCCACCTCGAGGCCTGGAGCTGTAACCGCTTCATACGGACAGTGACGTGAGTGGAAAAATACTAGTTTGAGGGTCTCTGAGCTGCACAGCTTTACATGAAATATAATAGTAGAGAAATTATACATTATTATAACTTCTTTATAATAAAAGCACAGCTCGAATGTTCCTTGATCTGACAATAAACTGAAGTACCATCATCATCATCATCATAGACAATAGACCCTCTCTTTAATAGCTCATAGCTCTGCAGTGTGAACTGTTCTTTACTGTAGTTGATGGTGTGATAAGGTGACAGAGTACAAACATATTGTACATAAGATAATGTCATCAGAGGGAAGTTTCTGAAGGACAATACTTTAAGGAGAAGCATTCATCTGATAAGAAAAAGGCTTGTGCTGTGTTGGAAGTTAAACTCTGTTTGAAGGGGAAGATAGAAAAAAAACACATTTCTGGTGACTGTCCTGATCTGCAGAGATCCAGAATTCAGTCCACCGCCATCCTATTTCTCACAGAACACTTTCCTGGACTAGTATGTCCCGCCAGACGCCTAATGTCACGTCTAAGTGGGAATGAATAATTGCTCAAAGACTATTTATGACAAGCAAACACACCTGCAGAGTGTGTGATGTTAAGACTTTGTGTTACTGGAACATGTCGGCGTACACCAGTAAACCTGTTGACGGAGATCCACAAAGGAATCAGTGTATTAGTTTGTACACTGACAGCTGGGCTCAAGGTTGCATTATCACTGCTGCTGATATTTTCACCACATACGCCCTTCTTAGTGACGAGCTGCCTCGCAGGAACTTGTAGGTCAAAAGATTTTGAGGCCACTAGAGTATAAAGGCTGCATTTGGTTAGGTGAGTTTTCTTAAGAAGTCTGGGCTGCACAAGAAGAGAGCTTTAACTTACCAGTATCCCATATTATGCAATAAACACTATTCATTCATGAATACCCCTTTAGCAATTTAGATTTCTCTTATTGTTGCAGCTTTCATTTGCTTTAATCTCATGCACTTTTTACACTGCATTGCATTTATCACACCAGATCAGCACTCTTAATGTCTTTAATTGTCTTGTGTTTATGGTTTTATGCTGCTGTTGTCCTCATGTAGGACAATAGCAATCTGGACTGAGCTGTATTTTCCAACTACTTTTCTGATAAAGCTTTAATAAAGAAAACCTACAACTGTTAACAGTCCCAACAAGTATAATAAGCTCCATATATCCTTCAGTTTCAACGTACAATTCTGCTTACACATTATCACTAACAATATAAAATACAAATCAATCATTAAGCACCAATAATAATCCAACAATAAAATAGTAGTTGTATAACAGACAGATGTCATTCTGCTGCCCCACCACCAGCTATTTGATACTTCAAGTAAATATTACTTCTGTTCTTACTACTTCAAAGTAAAACATTGAATGCAAGGTTTCTGTTTGTAATATTATTTTTAGTATTTTTACATTGTGGTATTGCTATTATTACTTAAATAAATGAACCTGGCTGTCACACACACTTGACAAACAAATTTTGCTGATAGAGGACCACAAGTCTCATGGAAAGAAAGCATTGAAGACTGTAAAATACATGTTTGATTGTCCAATTAGATATAAAATAACACAACCCAACCATTTCAATGACACTTGTGGTCGTTGATACTTGCTGGTGACCTGAACACGGACCTTGTGAAGGAACAAGCTGCTTTCCTTCACAGAGATACAAACACTTGTATACTTAGTACTCAGCAGACAACCCAGTGCTGCTTTTGTTTGGATAGATGTCTCTGCCTACAACTCTCTTGTGGTGTAGGCAGAGATAAACCCAGCAGGAACCAGGACAAGGCAGTCAAAATACGCCCCCCCCCCCCCCCTCCCACTTCTTAAGGAGCTTGGAAGAGCTGTGGTGACCCTGCTGACTCAGCGACACAGCAGCAGCTGCCAGCTCTGTGAAGGATGCACAAGCTCAGCGAGCTCACAGCAGCTCCACCTGACAACCGCAGAGCGAGAGGAACCAGAGCCAGTCCTAAGCTCTGTGGAAACTACAGCGGCACTGTGTGTGACAAATACAAGAAACTAAATGTGCAACGCGCACACAGACTCAACTGCACTCTGCCAGCCTGATGCATGAAAACACACACAGGAGGAAGTGGAAGAGCTCTGAGAGCTGGTATTTTTAGACGATGCACCTTCAGACAAAGTTTTAACTCCGTTAGATATAATCAGGGACATCTCAATATGCAGCGTCTTGCTAACTCTACATAGAAATACTGCAAATTAAAATCCTTTGTTTCATTCTGTACTAGTAAACAAAGCAACAATACATTTTTGATCTTTCAAACAAAACAAGTGGTGTAAAATGTGGTCGAGACCGCAAAATATAAAATGTAATGATCATGAGAATGTTTTTTTGCAAAAACGTTTCAATGATTCATTCACATCTGTATAAAACACTCACATTTTTAGTTATTGGTGATTGTACTCGTTCCTTCCGTTCATACTGGCTGTAAATTGATCACAAACTTGGACAGACGTTCACTTGACTTGGGGAGGAATGTGGCTTTCGTCCCGGTCACTTATAACTGGAATGACATTATGAACGCATTTGTTTTTGGCCCGTATGGAAAGGAAGAACAATTACAGTAATCAAAAAATGGTCTAAATATAGATATGAGCTTGTCACTAGTTTATAGGAGGAAGCAGGTGCGCTTCCCCTGCACTAAACATGACTATTCTTTAACTACCACCTATAGCGAAGTTAATATTTGTAGATGCATTTCTGGCCACCTGATGAATGTAAGTCCAATATTAAGTATCAATGTAACATCGCTTATAGATCAGAGCAGATACTGAAACTGTGCCCAATGACAAAAGCAGAAAGAACAGTATGTTTATTACCAAATGACGACAGATTTTTATATCTTTGAGAAAAAAAAAAAAAAAAGAAAAGAAACATGAGACAAGGGTGCAACAGAAAATATGTAAGGCTCTGTTAAATCCTCAGCTTTAAAAACAATGTACCAGATATCCTGAAAAGTCACAAAAAAGCAAAAACTAGTAGTTTAAAAGTTTAAAACCGGCTACCCATGTCGTTAGTTTTTAATAAATATGTAACTATAAGAAAAAGAAAAATACAAAGTTAAATCTGATTAACTGTGCCAGAACTTTTATCAAACCACATTGCTGCGACTTATTAGACAAGAAATCAGCGTCTCCTGAATTTAAAGCAACACACGTCATGTAGCCAAACACAAATCTGCACTGTGAGCTTCCTTTGGTCGTTCCAAAATCATTCTCCCACAGACTCCTCGAGAAAACTGAAAATGGAAGACCTGCGTCCACGTGATTCATGCCTTGTAGAGACTTTGACAGAATTCAGGCTAACAACATTAAAATGGCTCTTCCTTATCACTTCAAGTGGATTTAGTAGAACATTTTCAATTTTGAGCATGCATGTTTTCAGATGAGTTTGGCTGCTTCAGGCTAAAAAGGAAATTCTTGTTGTTACAGGTTTAATCCACAGAGTCGTACGTCCCGTCTAATTTTTCCTAAAGCTAAAAAAAGTCGTTGTACACGCTGCTGTAGTTTGTGTTAGAAGAACTATTTCAGACAAGATTCTCAAAATAGAGCCAGCAGCATAACTGGGCAGCAAACTGGTCGAAGTATGCATGCTTAAAAGTCAAAATGTTTCAATATTAGGAAATACTTTGTCAAATTCCAAACTTGAGACACAATACAAGTAATAATAAAGTATATAATAGTGATTAAAGCAGCTTTAAAAAGAAGCTGCAACCTCACAAACACTCCTGCTTATTATTTCAGGGATACTTCCGACTAAAAGGAGAAAAAAAAAAAAAAAAAAAGAGAGACTGAAATTCACAGATGGCCGTTCTCGCTCACTACAAGTCAGTCAGTCTGACTCCATCCTGGATCATCGAAAAGGCCGTTGAGGTTGCAGCAGAAACGTCTTCTAACAGTTATGATATCAAAAATAGGACAGACGTCTTTCCTGTCAGATGCTCTGTGATAAGAGTCAGAAACCACACTGAACAGAAACTTGACCGGCTGCGTTAAGTTTTAGTCGGTTTGTCCCCAGGTTCATGGTTCATCAAAATCCTCGTGGTGGTCCAGACAAATTATGCATCTAAAAAAGAAAAAGAAGAACAGAGAAAAGCCAAAGCAGCTTATTAATACCACACGTTTAAATAGCTAAAACTGGCATTCTCATTGTGCAGCTGTGTGCTTAACACAACTTCCTGTTTTGGAACATAATTTATTTTTCAGGATGTCACATTTTCCTCTTTCTCCAGCTCGGCTCGCAGCCCCGTCTGTTTCATAGACTTCACGGCCCTGAGCTGCTCATACAGTTGTGTTCTTCACGCCACATACTTTCTGCCATTTTATGATAACAAGCTAAACCAACGGTTTGCACGGCGCAGCACCGCCCACTCGTCTTTCTCACTTCCAACTGGACCTCTCCTCTCCATAACACTAGACCGAAAACGCCTCACAGTCATCCATTTGTCACATTCCTCCTCAGCTTGTGAACCATTTTATATCGCAGGGACATTTTATCACATTTTTAAAATTAGTGAGCCGCCAACTGTGCTGTGCTCATGAGCTCTTTTGGGGCGGCCCGTACATGAATGCAAGCATGCAAAGGAGGATGGTAATGGCCGTACTTGTACCTCTTTCTCACTGCACCACACAGGCTGTGCAGCACTGTTCCTGCTTCTCCGGCAGTGTGGAATAATTCATCTGTCGGACGATCTCCGCAAACAGCTCGTCCACCATAGTCTTGCTCTTGGCTGAAGTTTCGATGAATGGGCAACCCCACTCTTGAGCCAGAGCTCGTCCATCTGACCCAGCCACCTCACGCTCAGACTCCAAGTCGACTTTGTTCCCGACCAGGATCAGCGGCACCTTCTCGAACCTCTTCACTCGAACTATTTGGTCTCGCATTGGTCTGATGTCCTGAAAGATGGACAGGGAGAGGATACGAGTGGTTTCCCATGAAAACCGTAGTTTTTGTAGCACTGAGACAAATAATCAGTGCACCAAGAGAGAGAAAACAAAATGCTGACATACTCACAGAAAATGTAAATAATCGAGTATAGTGGAGAAACAGTTAAAGGAAGATTATAGTCAACAAATAAATACTACGTATTAAACATTTTCCTTTCTCTTTGTTAGGTGTAATTGACAAAAGCTTTCCATAGTTTGTCAGATTTTTTGTATTAGGCTACATAATGCCCTTTTAGTAGAGGAGATATAAGTATAATATTTCTATATACTATATGCAAAAACAGTATACAATGAGAATAAGAACAGCTGTATATTACATAATGTATACAATTAGTGTGTAGTATCGAATCTAGGACACAGCTTAGGCCCTTGAAAAACTTCTTCATCACACAAATATTGCAGTCTCTATTAAACATGTACATTATGTTTAAAGTACACAAGTTGTTGTGGCAATTCACTATTTTGAGTTTTCTGTTAAACCCAGTTTAGCCATATTGAAAAGTTGAGGCAACTACGAGGCAAACCAGTTTTGCAGGCTTGATATCTTACGCTGTTAGCCAGTTTCACATTTAAATAATGTCAAACACTTTAATGTTTCTTGGTAGTTTGATAAAAAAAGTCTCTGTGCACACAAGGCTTTAATGTCTATAAAGTTGCCTAAAACTGAACACATTGATGTATGGACTGTATTTGACACAAATTAACTATTGTACTTGAATAATAAAGTAAAATTGAAATGCTGCAGGGCTCTGCATTTAGACAGTACGAGTCACACCCTGTTACAGCGTTTAAACGCTGTGATGAACTACCCAGGTATAGACAGTTTAAGGTGTGCGGTTAAAGGTGTGTGAGCTGACATGTACAGGTGACGGGTGTACCTGGAATGACTGCTGGTTGACCAGGCTGTAGACCAAGATGAAGCCCTGTCCGTTCTTTATGTACAGGTCTCTCATGGAGGCGAACTGCTCCGTCCCCGCCGTGTCGAGGATCTCCAGCACGGAGGGAGACGAGTCCACCTCGATCTCCTTTCGGTAAAAGTCCTCGATGGTCGGGTCGTATTTCTCGATGAAGGTGCCGGTGACAAACTGGACGGTCAGCGCGGATTTGCCGACCCCACCGCTGCCCAGCACGACCACTTTGTATTCTTTCATCGGAGCGGTCGAGGCAGGCTAACTTAGCAGCTAACGACTTAGCTAACAGCTACACTGCTATACTCGCCCCAGAAACATCTATCAGGCCCTTTAAAGAGCTAACATGCGAACTGGAAAATGTTGGGCAATATAAAACAACTCCTCTTCATTCACATGAACCCAGGTGTAGTGCACATACTGTTCGCTTTTTCTTACGTTGCCTCGCTAGTTAACGAGTAAAAGTTGATGTCCGTTGACGTTAACTCTGGTGTTAGCTCGCGGTGACGCTAGCTCGCTTCTGGCTAAATTCAGTCTTACGCGGTCCCATGCTCGAGCCTCAAGACTTTACATCCGATCTGATAAACCACAAGCACCGGGGACTCGTTAACTAACTTGCTGTCTAGCTACAGGCAGCAAGTCACGGTGATACACATTACACGTTCCCTATAAACAACATGCCAATTCCTGCAAACACACCAGCCCGCCGGTGTCGCACTGGTTATGTCAGTCCGTCCGGGCCTTGTTCTGGTTCCGGCCCGGCCCGGCGCCTCGGCACTATCGACGGACACACCGCAGATTCAATATTGTAGTCCGAGGGTCCATTGGCAACAGTCTGTTGCTGCTCCAGTGTAGGTTTGACTCTGTGCTGGGGAGGTTTGATAACAGAAAGGAAAGCTTCTTTTTTTTTTTTTTTCTTCCACCAACTGATTTCCTGAAGCTAACAGTCTCGTTTCCGCTAACGACAACCAGGTTTCCGGTGTGACTGTTTTCGGAATAAAAGCCTAATTTCTACGGCAGTGAGGTTTAAATACTTGAATGAGCTTTACAGGTGCTGCAAAACATGACTCATATTACCAAGTTTACTATGATCCCATACAAAAGATAATTTTATTTGTAAATATAATTTTTACAAGTCAGATATTAACTGATTTAAGGTCATGCAAACAAATATCAATGGACCAAAAAACATTTTAAAAGAGTTGTGCTAGAGAGGACTAGTGGTTAAGATGCAAACCATGGAACAGCAATGTCCCTAATATGATTTTAGCTGGGGAAAGTTTGTTACATGCCATAATCCTCCCTCTCTCTCTTGTCTGTATTTTTGCTGTCATCAAAATCAAATTAAAGGCAGAGCAATACTCTTTAAAAAAATGTTTTTATATATAGCTATTATAATTAATGATGAATGTCAAATGTATTACTATTGCCAAACAATAATTTAGATTCAACCTATACCTTGTTTATGAAAGCTTAAATGTTCAGATGTGTCAAGGTAGTGATTTAATCTATACTCATCGGCTGAAAATCATGTTTTTGCGGTGTTATTATCTTTTCTCACCTTGCTACAGTGATGTAGAAGTGTACTCCAGGATGTGTCAGTACACCGCGACATCAGGGTTGAGCGTGGTGTGATAATTCTAAGGTTGGTATGATTCATGTTTTTTTTCTGTCTGTATTCTTTTCAGCACATGCTTTAAAATGTGCTTCCAGAATGATTTTGTCAAAAACCTGTTGATTGATTTGTTCTGATATTCAAACTTCAAACAAAGGCCATGACTCTGTTGAATTGCAGTTCCTTATACAATATTTATATATACTGTATGTCTATGTTTCCGAGACATCAGACTTCAACTATAATATAACCTTTAGTCATATAAATATCATCAAGTCATACACAGGAAAAAGCTCACAATTCAGGAGACACATGGAAATGTCTCTTTAAAAGGTGACACAAAAATATAATGAACAAAACACACCACAAGAAGATCACGATTATGTGTTTTATTAAAGGTCAAACAGAAATAGCAGAACTCATCATAGGCACAGTAACTTACTCTTAATAGCTATACACGGCAAAACAAATTGGCATGTAGCCAGCAGCACATACAAGCACCACAAGCTGAAAACAGAGTGAAACAATAGATGACTAAGAAACAGCAGTCACTTTCAAGTCTGTCCTAGAGTGTCAAGAGAGAGTATTTCATATGGCTTAGTCCTGAACAGTCTTTGGCCCTCTTCATCTTCCACGGGTTGCCATTCAGTCTGCGATTACACCCAATTTAATAATCAATCACCAACCCGACAAAGGATTTTAAATAAAGGGATCCGTTTTACACTCCATACATGTGCTGTTTTAAGTCAATACGAACATAGAATGTAAAAGAAAGACTACATCTTACATGATAAAGGCACAATTACAACTGAATTGTTTTAAAATAATGATGACAATAAATCTATTTCAAAACAAAATCACAATCATATTTACTTGTTTGTGACCAAAAACCCACAGTATGTTAAGTCCACTCCACATGTGGAGTCAGAGGAACCGACTCACCAGGATGACTCAGTCAATCCACCACTAGGACAAGTGCCATGGCAACAACATCTCTGGCTTTAATAGCAAATGAAGAGCATCACATGCCCAAATCTGCAGGAGCAGAGTTGCGTAAGGATGTTGCTGCTGCTGCAAGAATAACATTGGAAAACCAGGTTTTTAGCAATTTTGACAAATAGCCTGAGGAGAATTCAGATTTATTGTTGTTTTGGATAATGACATCAAGGGAGAAAAGAATAAACCCATTTTACAAAATGACAAAAGTAAAGTGAATTTAAAACCCTGTGAACACATCTCACATTCATGTCCCTCTGTAGTCAGATTTTATTATCTGCTCCACTTTTCTAACTGGCTGCTATTCAGCCTGCATGTGGAGATACTCTGTGCTTTTCTTTTGGTGTGTATTTCTGGAGAGAGAGGAATGCACCTGCATTCATGTCTTCATTTTGAGCATTTAAGGACAAGGTTAGTACTGGTTTATCATATATATATATATATATATATCCAAACTGACTATTTATTCTAATCCACCTCTCTTGTTTGATGTCAGGGTCAGATATTACACTAAATTAAACTGAAAAAAAGTATTTTTTAAAGCAAATCATTTGTGGTTTACAGCTGGGCAATGTCATGCTTGGCAAAGAACAGGGCTCTAGCAAACAAACAAAAGGACAGATCCTTCAGAGCAATCTTTTTATACTGTAATAAAATGATAGACATACTCGTATCATTAACAATACATTGATTTGATTTTTAATCAACTCTTTTATCTATATTTATTCAAAATAAATTTTGAGTATTTTGACATAGTTATGTACATAAGTGCAAACAAGGTGAACATCACACATTCGTATACACCTCAGCAAGGATCGACATCACCCAGCACAGCTGGGCAGAAAGAGACTTCTGAACCACCTTCTTGACTAAAACTGAACTCTTTAATGGATGCTCAGTCTCCATACGGAGAAAACTGAGCGAGGGCTGTCCAGTCTGAAGGAGGTAACCAGTGGGGATTGCTGACTCGTTTGATTTTACAGAAAAAGCAAATCTTTCTATTAGTCCACAAGTCTCTTTACCTTCCTGACAGATAGGTGTTTGCTTTAAAAGCCAAAGTCCATTCTTATTTCTCAAAAACTCCATGTACAAGAACAAAAAAACAAACAATTAAGGTCAACTAAACAAAACAAAATAAACACCTGATCTCCCCTAAGGACCTTTGGATATTACAAGGATTTAAGTTTTTCATACAAAATATTTAATCACGTCGCAATAACAAGACAAACTAATTAGACATTCCCTTTTTGAATAAGTTAGTGATGTATGTTGTTTCAATTAATGTGAAAAAAAAAAATCACAATTAGGGTAGTAGAAAGGTAGCCATGTTGTCAATTTGTTGCCACTGCAACAGCAACTTAACAATGACTCCATCATTGTATACAAATGATTTTCATATTATATATTTTTCTTGTTGGTCTACACAAACTATTAACTATGTATAAATTAGTTTTTTTTTTTATTTCCATGCTGTTTTTATGTCAGTTAACAAAAAGCTTAACTTACCATTATTACATGTCACTTTCATACACAGTTATCACATCTTTATACAGTGATCAAGAAATAAGGCCCTTTGTTTGTGCCCCGGCAAAAATAAGTATGCTCAGGACTTAACTGTCCACATGCTAAAGGATCTGGTCACTGGCCACAATGATCAGAGCATTTTGCATATTCCAGAGTTATGATTCATGGGAAAAATACAGTGAGGCCTAAAGGAAATCAAGTACAAGAGAAGAAGAAAGGGAAAGAGGTTAAAACATTTGTTTTCTCGTGCCACACGCTCTTGTACATCAATACATACATCTAAATGTACCTAAAAATTCAAATGCCATCAAGAGGCACAATTTATTAATCAAGTATTCTGTTGTTTTCCAGCTGGACAGCAGTTAGTGAAGGCATAATGATGTGAAGGAGGGAGGAGACGAAGGCTATAGTGAGGGGTTTTCTTGGCTGGATAAAGCTAGTCTTTAAAAGCTGTGAGATGAAGACAAACTAAATTGTCTGAACATTCGAATCATCAATTTCATTGAGTAGGAGAGAAATATGTCTGTTCAAAGACTTGACAAAATGTAGCTGCTCAACACACTGAATGACAAGGAGACAACTTAAAGGAGAAGTACGTTTCGGTACCAAAAGGTACATTTCTTTACAGACGTACGATAACAGGCATATAACAGGCTAGGCAACGCTTGATCCACCATGTACATAAAAAGTAAATTATTTCGGGAAATACGTTTATTCACTTTCTTTTAGAAGGTCAGATGAGAAGATTTATCTCAATCTCACGTCTCTGCGGTAAATATGAAGCTTGAACCAGGAGACAGTTAGCTTATCTTAGCATAAATAATAGAATCAAGGGGGTAAAGCTAGCCTAGCTCTGTCCAAAGTAGAGCGAGACCAATAAATCAGCCAATATTAGCTTATTATAGAAATATTGTAATTGCGTATAATTCGGCCGATACAAGCAATTGCATCAGTATACAAATTTTTTTTTAACTCCTAAATCAATATTAGTGTCGGTCTCATAAATACAGTACCAGTTGAGTTACAGTCCAAAGTTACAAAAAATTTGCCTGGCAACACTTCTACAGCTCACTAATTAACGCACAATATCTTGTTTACTAATCTTTACGCTAATCTCAGTGGCTGCAGGTTCTAGCTTCACATTTAACACACAAACATGAGAGCAGTATTGATCTTCTCATCTTACTTGGAAAGACAGTGAATAAGCTCACTGGGGTACTAAAGTTACGGTAGCACACTGATTGGGTGCACCCACACAAACCCAAGATCAATCTAACTTGCCCCCACTGAACACAATAGTCAGTGTTCATGGGTGGGAAGCCAGAGCGGGATTACAGACATGTTGCAGCACTAACAAACTCTTACTGAATGGTCGGTCTACACTGTTGCTTCTGTATACAGCTTCCCCAGTAGGAGTTAACAGAAACAGGGACGGCAGTACACGGAGCACTGACAAATCCACATTATGCAAAAAAAGAAAACAAAATGCTAAAAAGAAGGGTAGCATGCTGATTTTCTCAATTTTGCCCCGTGATTATACCATTGTTTATAGGTGCATTTTGGGCACTTTGGCTACTTTCTAAGAGAGGGGTACAACAGCTGATTAGCAAGAAACGGTACTGTTCTGTACCAGTATGGTGCACATCTGTACTTCAAAAGCACAATTCTGCTCTAGCTTTTCTGAGTGAAAGATATTTCTAAAAGTAGTCACACCATCCATTGACATTAAATATAAATCTATATAACAATACACATACTTTAATATGTCTTAACACAGTATCAGCATGGTACCTACAGTATGTGACCTCAGAAATAGTCTATATATAGTGAATCATTACATTTCAACATGCCTGTCTTTTAAAAGGGCATGTGAAGAGTTTTTGCAATAGATACATTTACGACACGATGACATTATTTAAATGAATAACGTTCAGTGGGAAATGCCGAAATATCTGCAGCATTTACAACTAACCAAATATGTGATTCATTGTCTTTTTCAACACACCTAAGAATGGACACAACTCACTGATCTATTTCTTTACATGAACGATAAGACAGCACAGCTGTCTCAGAGAAGAAACAAGTAGAGATGTGATTTACTGTTATAATAACGTACCAAACGACACATCTATCTTTGAGCACTGGTCCTTTCTTACAGTGTATTGACAGTGGTGGTTTGAGGAGACTTGAAAGAGGCACATTTGAATTTGGATGAAAGTGATTTCAGCCCGGTTTCCAGAGCCGTTACGCTCAATTTTTTGCACCTACAAAGCAATTCCTTCCATTCATTTGAGATCCAAAATGTAACTGGTTTGCCATTTTTTTTTTTTCAACATTAGACATCAAACGGGTGATTTATTCCTCCATCTCCTGACTTTACTGTAACTCAATTCTGGTTATAACAGATGTGGATGCAATATTCAGAGTCCTACTAATTTCGACAAAAAGGACACATCAGTAGAAAAGACGACACATTATAAAGTCAGACAGGACATTTTCAAGTTCTAAGCTTTCTCCCTGAAGAGCCATAAAACATAAAAATCTTGTGCCACTAATTCAATCCAAAAGCCGCATGAAGGGAGAGAATTACACAAACAAACTGCCTTTTTAAAATACATCTCTGAGTTTGAGAGTTACACATACATTTTTCATATATTGCATTAAATTGGGCAGCTCCTAGCATATACCAACCACCACTTGGCACACACAGAATTTAGGCACAACATCAGGACACAAATCCAGCTCCCATCTTGTGCAATAGCTCTGACATCAGGTGTTAAAGTTTAACAAGTGCCAATTATAAAAGTCTGACTCTCGGAAATATAATTGTGTCTGTACTATGATTTCAGGTGAGTTGAACAAACGCATGAAATCTGGGTTTGTGGCTGATGCCAAGAAGTGAATTTGACTTGTAGATTGTCATTTTTTAACACCACGTTTCGATATCAAATCATGGAGGAAACGGGACAAACAAACCTTCCTTTTCAGTCATTAGACAGTAACCCAGCACAGCCGCGACTAAAGACACTGCATCACTCAAATTCAAACAGTTTTAATAACACAAACTGCCTTAAACTGCCATTGAGGCAGTTTGTTTCCTAGATCAAGAAATGAAGAGCCACATTCTTATAAATCTGTCATCTCAGCCCCTTTAGTGTAGATGTGATTGTATTATGTCACTCCATCAATGTGTAGTTCTTCAATTTTGTTGCATTACATGAAAAGTACCATCTCATTTTCTGCTATTATCCCATCACTACCAGATACTGACTGTGAAACCGGGGATTCAAATTACATTCATAAAACAATGTAAATTTAAAGTGGCGATCACTGTAATACCTACATTATCTTACAATTGGAGCTATAAGTTGATACATATATGTAACAACTATTGCCTTTAATTGAAGAGAACGTATAATAATGTACGTTTTCAGTGTTTTGAATCATTTGTGAAACTAAGTCTCCTCTGCAGCTGAGCAGATAAATCAAAGGCACAAACAAATGAACAACAACAACTCGTTAGCGTTTCATCAGGCAAGATGACACCATGAGAATAAACTGAATAATATACATGGTACAACACAAATGTTACATTTGTAGCCATCTTGAAACGTAAACATGACATGGTATGAAACACTCTCATTTTGACAATAAGTACTGGTTGCAGACCAGCGGCAGGTCCGTTTCCCGCTTGAATGATCTCAATTTCCAGAATTAGCTTTTCAGAGTTTCTGACTTTGGAACAGTCAAAAGTGTTCAAAGGGTCGCATCATGAGATGGCTCCATCCCATAAAGGGCATGTAGTCTTCAATGTGTCTGTGTGCACATGTCTGCTGCACTTTTAAGGTGTGGGCATGTATGGCTGTACGAACGAGGGAGCTCTATTGCTCAGCCAAGTCAGTGTGTATCAGGATGGCTGCTTTAAAGCAACAGTAACACGTCCGGGCTTGTATTGCGGGAATCATCGCAGCTTTCTTACGTTCACAACATCTTATCAGAAGTTTCACACTCATTCAGTGTGCGCTGTAGGCGAGGCACATTTTAGACCGCCCTGGTAGTGCGCATGGTTTCAGGGGCTTTAACTGGGGTTTTGGGAAAGGCTTACTGAGTTTAGGGTCACCGGAGCAGCCACCAGCAGTTTGGGGACGGGACAGAAATGGGTTTCCATGGGCACGCACTGGGGCACGCACTGGAGCTCCACTGGATCGGGAGACAGAAGCTCGGAGGGGTCTACTGGAAGAGAGAGAGAGGAAGAGAGGAGAGGAGCAGTGAAGTCACACTGACACGAAGATCTACACAACAGACGAGTCAGCAAGATTCAGTTCGTGTGCAAAATATTTATAAAGTAAAGCCAGAATTATCTTTCAACAAGTGAGCCAAAACATGACAATATTTGTTTGTACTCACGTATTTTGAATAATTATTGTTGGAATGAAGCCACTAACTGCCATTCATTTCTAGTTTAAAAATGCTGCCAAATTATGTGGATTAAGATTTTCCTTCTTAAATTCATTCTTTAATCCAGGAACAAAAAACCTTTTAGACCATAAAGAGAAAGTAAAACTCCTTTAAAAACCATGCTGCACTGTAATCGGGCTTAAAAGGTTAACGCCTCATTAAAGTAAATACGAAAAATATAAACTTGAAAAGAAAATAAATCCTTTTTTATATCACACAGCCACAAGCAACTGCTAAACCCCCCGTGCTAGACCACGCACTGTATGTCCATAAATTACATAGAAGACAGAGACAGACATGATACACCAAACTAGGACATTTAGATGAAAACAGTTGCTTATTTTAACTGTTCGCAAACACCACAACAGACTGGAAAGTGAAGACAGATGAAATGTGAATATAATAAATGTGACTCTACAGGCAGGTGTTTCTTTAACCTGATGGAAGGAGACTACGAACAGGACTCAGACCTACTGGGCTAAAAATAAAAAGAGAACTGAGACGAAGGAGCAAACCTGATTCGAGGCGGCAGATTCAGCGAAAGGAACATTGGTGACTGGGGTCGAAGCCGACGAAACAGTGGAGGTGGTGGCACCGTGCATCATGGGAACTTTTATTCGGGCGAGTCAGACGAAAGACAGAGGACGAGGATGTGGGCGGGGAGGAGGGGGGGAGGACAGGAATGATATGATTACCATGGCAAAATGTGTCGGATCAAAAGTCATGGCACAAGTCCAGTGATATTGCCAGGATGAACAGATATCAAGACACATGCAAACAAAATGAGAGATAAAGAAAACTACAGTTTATTAGCAAACTAGTTAAAAAATGTAATAAAATGCACTGTTCCACTCACAAATGGTTAGGCAATACACAGTCATACAATCTAATCAGACGGGAGTATCTGATATATTGTATTCAAATGGACAGAGCATGTGTATGGAGGGAGCAAATGATCCATAAGATAGAAAAACACTTTTCAATAATGTCACAGCTGTAATGCGACAGTTTATCTTTTCTTTAGAAAGAGTGGAATATCATAAAATCTGCGATTTTGTTATTGTATCAGATTTAGTGACTGATAAATTTCAACATCTCACTTTCACTTTATATTCAACTTATAAATGTCCAGCGATGAAGGAGCTTTGGACAAAGACAGCACCAATATTTGCATAATTTCACACTAGTGTGATCTGCTTTCTACCAGCATCTTTGATTAATGATTAATAGGGAGATTGAGACAATGTCTAATGTTGGGACAGGTTAAAGGAAAACTCAGTTTACAAGTCATTTAGAGTACTACTACAGTGATCCTGAAAACACTTATATACACATGTGTATACATACATATATATATATATACACACATACTTATGTGTCATCTATGTCTGCCCCTGCTGACATCATCAGGGGTTACTTTCTCAGACTTGACCTGTGTGTTCCAATACCCACACGACCATACTATTTATAATGCGAGAAAAAGATTTAGTATGCCTCAATACACAGTATGTCAAATGCAGTATGCCAAAAACACCTACTGCATCTGGTCAAATTTCGCAGTATGCAAGCAAGAATACTCTTCTGGCTATTCTGGCTATTCTGACCCACAACCCCCTGCCCGGTGGATATATGAGCAAGAGGTTTAAAGTTCAAGGTGCAATGTCACGACAAAATGGTATTGCTGCGCTCCATTTACCTCATAAATCAGAAGTCAGAGCACGGACTGACATCAAACCCGAATCGCTCGCGTTCCAGTACAACAAGTCCCAAAACTTAAAAGGGTTTGCTCCAGGTAGGTTAGCTATTATTAGCATTACCAGTTAATAACGACACATTACGTCGGTATTTTGTGCATACAAACACTGTAGCAACATGTCCACAGAAGTTGGACAGTGCTGTATGTATGACTGATTTAATGGGACACAAATAGGACAGACATGATAATAAACAGCATATTAATACTGATTTTTTTACTGTTGATAGGCGGAGAAGCCGTCTTGGATTTTGAGGTCAGGGACGGTGGGGTTCGTATGACTTCAGGATGCTTTCCAGTTGAAATTTCCGACTGGAAAATTAGAAAATGTACAACTTCCCAGTTCAAATGGAATGCAGCACTTGTCCCAGTTGAATGCATACTGCAATCAGCAGTACGTGCTTTGTAAGGGCAGATGCTGTATGTACTAAACGTAAAAAGTATGTGATGGCAGCGTCTATATCTTTAAAGCTCCTGTACGCCCATACAGGTGTTTTCACTTATATTGCCTAATTGGACCTTTTCTCAGGACTGTGTGGGCGACTACAAAGGCATTTAATGGACATCTCACTCACAGTTCTGCTGGTTTTGTTGTCGTGTTGGGGCGGGTCAACATACACTGTAATCATTGCTGATAGTACAGTTTACTACAATTGCAGCAGTTGCTTTACCCACCAGCAGCAAAACACGACCTGGTAACTTCATTTCATTGTTGTTTATAACAGAACTCCTAAGTTTCTACTTTTACTGACAGGGACATTATATCACTGTCATAATATCAGCATGCAGCAGTGGTAAATGTGATGTGGATGGAGAACACAAAGACACACACACACACGATTGCCATGATTACCATCTACAAGATTTGTGACTGCGATTACGATCAGCATTGCAATAGCTGACACTTTTTCTATCTGTGTTCGTTTTGATAGAGATAGATATATATATATAT